TTTAGCTACCAGGAGTGTGGTAATTTGTTACAGCAGCTCCAGAAAACCAATACGCCTCCACAGTGCAGCTTTTAACTGTTCTCATGGTCACAAGATGGCTGAGCTTCTTGTAGGTGGGTGGGGAAAGGACAAAGATAAAAAAATCTATGTGCCTTTATCAGGAAAACAATAGTTTTCACAGAAGAGCTGTCCCGTAGACAACTGCCTACTGTCATTAGCCATGAAGCTGGCATTTCTAACCCTAGCAGCTAGGGAGTCTGGGGAATATTTTTAATAACTCTATCTATATCTAATATATAAATACATAAGAATGTATGTTATATGATTTACATATATTAAATTTTTATATATTACATATATACATTATATAAAATTACCCAATTAAAGTGTACAATCCCGCCTGGGCAGGCGAGACCTCATCTCTACAATAAATCAAAAAATTAGCCGGGCGTGGTACCGCGTGCCTGTAGTTCCAGCTACTTGGAAGGCTGAGGCGGAAGGATCGCCGGAGCCCAGCAGGTCGAGGCTGCAGTGGCCGAGAGTAGCCACTGCACTCCAGTCTGGGTGACAGTGAGACTCCAACTCAAAAAAAATAAATAAATAAAGTGTACAATCAATGAGTCTTGACAAATAAATGTGGTCAAAAATCATCACCATAATCTAGATATAGAACATTTCAGCCACCCCCAAAAAGTTCTTTCCTGCAACTTTGTAATCAGACTCTTTTTCCTACCCCAACTCCTAAGAAACACATTTTTTTTTTTTTGCTGTAAATTTGCCTTTTCTATAATATAAATAGAATGGTATAGTATATGCCATCTTTGGCATCTGGCTCCTGTCACTTAACCAAATGCCCTTGAGATCCAACCAAGGGCATTTTGGTTGTAGCATGTAGCCATGGTTTGTTCCTTTTTATTGTGAAGTTGTGTTCCTTTGCATGGATGAATGCAATCTGTTTTGACTCCTATTTTGGCTTTTATAAATAAAGCTTCTGTGAATACTTTTATATGAGTGTTTGCAAGAATATATGCTTTTATTTACCTTGTGTAAATACCTAGGAGTGAAGTGGCTGGGTTCTACTGTAGGTATATGTTTACCTTTATAAGAAATTGCCAGACTGTTTTCAAGTGGCTGTAGCATTTTGCATTTCATCAGCGATGATTTCACGCAGATTCTTGATATTACCAGTCTTACTCATTTTAGCCATTCTGGTGGCTGTGTAGTGGTGTCTCATTATGGTCTTAATTTGCATTTCTCAGATCTTTCTCATGTGCTTATTTGCCATTCATGTCTCTTCTTTAGTGAAGTGTCTGTTAAAATTTTTTGTCCATTTGTTAAACTGGATTTTGTTTTCCTACTATTGAGTTGTAAGATATGTTTATAAATTCTGTACAGAAGTCCTTTATTATATATGTGATTTGTAAATATCTTCTCCAAATCTGTTACCTGCCTTTTCATTTTCTTAACAGAATACTTAGAGAGCAAATTTTTAATTTTGATAAGATTCAAGCTTTTTGTGTAACTCACAAAATCTCCACCTATCCCAAAGTTACTAAGATTTTCTCCTATGTTTTCTTCCAGAATTTTATAGATTTAACTCTTACAGTTAGTCCTATGATTCACTTTGATTTAGCCTTTTGCGTTGAGTATGATGTCAGCTGAAGTTTTTTGTAGGTCCTATGTAGGGAAGTATTTTTAACTGGATATTTTGCTGCCCGAATTTATTTGAGGCTTTTTTAGAAAAGAAGAAGGGGGAAAATATGTTGGGCATCTGCTATGGGGAAGGTGTTTCTTCATGGGTTCAGTTTGGGGTCTTGGCTGTGCAATGATTTACTAGGAGATAGGCAAATCTGTTCATTAGTGTCTTTAAATGTGGAATATTGTTTACATGAAATATGACCATATGTGATCATATATTTTTATAACAAGTATGTTCGGGAAGGGCAGGGTTTGCCAGAGAATGAACTCACCCTCAGTCTGTTAGGAGGCAGTATAGCCTGTGGCTATGAAAGTGGTGGGCTCAGAAGCCTGAGTGCCCAGTCCCAACTCAACTCTGCAAGCTTGTCAAGTTGCTGAACCTTTCTGCTTCACAGCTTCCCACCTGCAAAATGAAGAGCTCAATGAAACCCACCTTCAGATCTTCTGAAGACTAAATGGGCAAATACCATTAAGTACTTAAAACGGTGCCAGTTGTCTGGTGCATTTTAAGAAGTACTTCGTTTGCATATGGCTATATTTACACACAGGTTTTCAGTAGCAGGTTTATCACCTGAAGTAAAGTACAGTCACATCATTTTTTTTAAAGCCTCTCTCCTTAAACCTCATATGAAGGTTTTTTAAGGTGATAGGGTTTGTTTCTGTTGTTTTGCAATATTGTTTGTGCAATAAACCCATTTTACTCTCGTGTGCATTGCACAGCCAATTACAGGGTTATAGTTGTGACCAGCGACACTTTCAAGTTAACACTGTCTCTATACTAGGAGGCTGAGCCAGAGTTTGACCTCCTGATGTTTGCATCTTGACCACTGAACAGTAGGATGGATTGTGGCTCCCACACTTCTCCTGGGTCAGCCCACCTGTGTGTGTGGACCACCGTGTGGCCCCCACTTGGCTTCAGTCCATTATTTCCTGCCAGTATACTCTAATTCAAGGGAACAGAGGCTTCTCAATCAATTGCTTTTTTCTGGGCATCTGCTCTAGGAAAGCTGACTGGCTGTCAACACGCTCTAAGGCCTAGGTGCACTCCTCCTTCCTGCCTGGGGTGGGTCTGGAGGTGGGGTGGGAGGTCACTGGGCAGTAGGGATGAGGTTATGCTGAGCCTGCTCCCGAGCGTCCTGCAGCACCACCGTGATGTTGACATAGAAGAAAAGCACTTAGGAGCCGGCTGGCAGGCCTTCAAGGGGCCTTTCCCCTTCACTTGAACTTGTTCTTTCCTTTTCCCTTGTACTTTTTGAGAGGTACAGCCAGAGCCAGATTTGCAAAGGGCCCTCTGCAAGGTTTTCTCATTCAAAGTCTTTTCTTTGGGCAGGGTTCTACATTGTCCTAGGCAGCGTTCTATGTTGTCCAGCCAGTTGTCTGCCCTTGGTTTGCTTTTGATCATATATTGAAGTTTTTAAACAATTAAAAAGTGTCCTTGATTCTATTTGGATACATCCACACAGTGTTTTCTCCTTCTCTGCCTCCTCTGCAATGGTGGGGGACAGTCAGTGTGTGATTGGGAGATTAAACAACAGTAACTGGGATTTCCTTTACAGTGTGTTATCCTTAACAGTGTGATGGGCAGAGTTGCGGCACCTCCTTCTAGAACTTCCAGGAGTGTCTGACCAGCTCCTGTCCTCCCCCGCCAAGGATGTCCTTCAGGCTGTTCCCTGAGAGTGGCATACGTGCGCCACACCTCTTCAGTTGTCATTGTGACTCCAATGTACAGAGACCTGGATTCAGGGAGCAGGGCAGACATTATCCTCTCCCTCTACTGTCATGCAATGCCCTGGTTAGGTATGGAACCTGAGGCACACATGACATTGTCCTCTAAACTGTGCCTGGCGCCCCAGGTGATGATGCTAAATTATACATGGGCAGAGGCTCTCTGCAGCACTGTTTTTCCACTGGAGCACAAAGCACTCTGTACAGGAGGGATTTTACATGGGGGGTCCTCCAGGCCCTGTGGAAACCGCAGAGCTGCAGGAGAACAGATGCTTTTCCAACAGAGAGGGCTCATTGGGGTGTAAGTTTAAAACACATGAGAAGCAGACATATTGAGTGTAACTTTCTATTTGAGTGTTATTTCCTTTAGCACACACAAAAATCGCTAAATGTTTAAATATCAAGCCATCAGGTTTTTGAAATAAAAAAAGGCAAGAAGGAGCAAAGAAATGTCAGAAGAGCCAGATTTAGCTCTCTTCTCTGGTCACACAAGGATCCCTTAAGCTCCTCCTACTTGATTGTAACTATTAAAGTTTGTGATTCAGCATCTTTCTTGTGTCTTGTGTCAGCTCTTCATTCTTATTTCACTCCAGTCGTATTTCCTCTCTCCCCTCCAACTGAAAAACAAAGCAGAGAAAGAAAGATGACCTTCATTGGAGAGATGGAAAGACCATCTTACACAGAGTAGACCGACGAAAGCTATTTGTGAGAGGAATAAATGACACATGTTAATTTCTCACATTTATCAAACATGGTGACTACCCAGCGCCAACTTTTGAGAGGCATCAGACATTCAAGACACGCTTTGAAAACAAATGAAAGCATCTGACTACAAGGGAAGGAAGGAAGGAGGGAAGATTGGCTGTGCTGGGAGTTCAATTCACGTAGTTATTCTGGTACTTTGAATTCTTGAGGCAGCCAGTGACCTGATTTAAACAGCCTCACTTTATCTGCACATGCATCCTCCCCTTCACATTGTTTCTCTAAAGTCTGTAACCTTTGGGTTTGATACATGCAAAGAATTAACATAAACATGGAAACTTGATTCACCATATATGTATGACATTTATTCATCTAACAAATAGCTTTTGCAGGTGACAGAGGTCAGGTTACAAAGGGCCCTGTGCTGTGCCCATGCATAATATTGTATTACAAATGTGGATATTTGTGACCAGGCGCAGTGGTTTATGCCTACAATCCCAGCACTTTGGGAGGCCGAGGCGGGAGGATTGCTTGGGGACAGGAGTTCAAGACCTGCCTAGGTAACATAGCAAGACCAACTTGTCTCTACAAAAAAAATAAAAATAAAAAATTAGCCAGGTATGGTGGCACATACCTGTAGTCTCAGCTACTCAGAAGATGGAAGTGGAAGGATCATTTGAGCCCTGGAGTTGAGGCTGCAGTGAGCTGAGATTGTGCCACTGCACTCCAGCCTAGGGGACAGAGTAAGATCCCAACTCAAAAAAAAAATAAAAGAGGAAGAAAAGAAAACGTGGATACTTGTTATCTGTCTGGCTAGTAAGTTTGATCCTCTCAGAATATTACCAACAGTTGTTTTTCTTCCATCATTTGGACAGGTGATGACCAAGAAGGAGGACTTTTTCAATGCCTGGAACTCGTGTCTACACCACGTGGCTTCCCTGTCTCTGGCACACACTCATCGAGGTCAGTTGCCTCCTATTGAATATTTGTCATTGAGTGATTCAGTGGTCTGAGGGTCACCTGGAAACACAACTCTGCAGAGAAAGGACAGTCCTCATACCAGTCTGAGCCCTCATGTTGAATTTAGGGCCCCAAATAACTTACAGAGACTTGAAGCTTATGGTAAATCAACTCCTAATTTACTAGGAACACTGACCAAATGATACTCTGTAAGTCTGATGGTAAACCCACTGGAAACAAATCACTAAACACAACCTAACTATCTTACACGGCACTAGATTAGAGTCAGTTGACAAAAACCAGTCCCTCAGAAGAAGTGGCCCTCTGCCTGACAATGAATGTACTTCCTAAATAAACAAACAGGAAGGTGTGTACACGGGTAAAGTGAGAGTATTTTAACAGGGGCTTGGCCTGAAGAATTTTAAGTACAGAACTACTTAAACTCAATCCTTAAGTTAGCAAGAAATTGGGTCAACCTTTTAAAGCAGTGGTTCTCACCTGGGGGCAATTTTGTCCTCCAGGGACTATCTGGCAATGTTTGGAGACATTTTTGGTTGCCACACTGAGGGACAGCACCACTGGCACATGGTTTGAAGAAGCCAGAGATGCTGCTGAACATCTTACAGCACACAGGCCAATCCCCCACAGCAGAGAATTATCTAGCCCCCAATGCCAATCAAGCTGAGACTGAGAAACTTGAATATTCATTTTGGCCTCAGTAGACCAAAACAAAGCATAACATTGAAAATGGAGCAAAGTCCAGATTATCCCTGAAGTTATTGTTTAATCTCAGGAATCACTGTCGTCTTTATCATCATGCCCGTACTGTGTGAGGAAAATGTTACAAGAGAAAGGTTAAGCACTCACTGAGTTCGTTGCCATGCATGGTTTTCCATCACACCAAATCACCACTGGCTCTGGGAAGGCCGAGTCTGTTCACCGCCACAGGTTGTATCTCAGGCACCATCTCATGGTATGGAGATAGGGGCTCCCCAGTGGGGTCTGTTAAAGGTCAGGACAGGTATATGGCTTGCAACCCAGGAACTTCTGCATGCGGCCCAACCTCCCAGCCTGGCCACTGCCTTCCCTCCTCCACTAGGCAGTTCTGAAAGAGCAAAGTACCACATGATTAAGTGCCAGGTGATTAGAACTGCAGGGATGCCCAGGACCCTCCTTCGGGTCTGATGAGAACTGGATTGGAGGGAGTTGCTTGGACGCAGACTAAGCCTGCACCTTTCCTTCCTTCTAAAGACCAGCTCTTGGGACCCTGTCCCCTTGAGTGAGCCTCCAGGGCTTGAGAGTAAATGTGCCAAGAGCGCAGATTCCTCATGGGGACAGGAGCAGGGGTCCCACAGGGACACTACTACCCTAGAGACCACGCTCTTCATACAGTGACCACACCCTGGAATAACCATGGCCACGCCCACCTTTTGGTTCTGGTTGAGTTCGACCTTCTGCTTCCTAGGACGGGGAGAAGAGGAAGGAAAGGGGCTAGGAGCAACAGGGACAGGGTGGAAGCCTCCCTCTCCTGTGGGCCACTAAGGTATAGGATTGGGTTCCCTCATTTGCAGATTCAGAAATTTTAATTTACTGCACCATGGTCTATCAGGTTCAAAGAAATAGACTCATCATAACTGAACTCAAAGGTGTCTAATATACACATCTGAATGTCAGTTTTTTCATCAGAAATCAAAATCCAACTGCTGAATCATCAGTGCATGCCCTTTCTCTTCTAAGGGCAAGTCTCCATATAGCACTAATTTATAATTAGGAGTTTGCTGCAAGTTACACCATCTGGACAACTCGTGCCCTTGGGCCTGGTTGGAGATCTGAGTGTCCGCTGAGACCTGTTCCCGATCCCAGAGCTCACAGACTGTCTACTTCCCTGGGCTATCTTGATGCACTCAGCGCCAGCCTCACCCCTTTAAAAAATGTATGTAAAGCACTCTCTTCTCTTGGTGGGTTCTTTTTTCAGATTTTTTTTTTTTCCAGATTTTTTTGATTGGGGGGAATGTTATTGGGACATGAAACAGCACTCAAGGCACACCTTTTGAAGGCAAATTTGTCTGCGGCCTTCTCAACACTCCATGTGGACTTATGCTGGATTTGCTCTCAGGGGTGCTGTGGTCCGAGTACCGGGCATGCCCCCTCTGAGACTCCATGCTGCTTGCAGATATTGTCCATGCTGGGTCATGAGGACGAACCATACAGATGCCAGACGAAACACTTCTAAACATTCTGAGATGTGATTAAATTGGAAAAGGGGGGTCAAGAATCAGTGCACAGTCACCTTCACCTTAGGAACAGGACAGTGGGGTCTTGAACCTCCCAGCCCCTTCTTGTTGAGAGCGTACTAGAGCTTCATGTGAGGATTGAGGATATGCGCTCTGGAGTCAGGGCATCTGGGTTCAGAACCTGGCTTTACCTCTACCAGCTATGTGAGTACGAGTGAGCGACTCACTCTCTCTGACCTTCTGTTTCTTCCTCATTTACAAAATGTAGATAGCATGATATTACCTCATGGTATAACTGGAAAAATAAAATGCCACAATGCTCCAAAGCTCTTACCTTAGCATCTGATCCATTGTTAATGTAAAGTAAAAAATTGTTATTGCTGTGAATCACTACTCTCCGAAAACCTCAGTGCCCATAACCATAGAACATTTAGACCCTTGTTCCTTAAGAGGAAGAAAAAGAGAAAGGTGAAACAGGTTCAGTCTGAATGTGTGAGGTCTTCACACCAGGAGGAAACATCAAGGACTTGACGTGGCCACAGCACAAAAGAAAACCGAAGCAATTTGGAACTTTTTATTGGTTCCTAATCACAGCAGCAAAAGTGATTGTTTTCAAGAAATTGGCTTCAAGTTCCGTGTCAGATACAGAAGTTTTGGATGTTCAAAGCAGCAGAAGAAAAATAATAAGAATTAGTACAGTGACAGCATTTAGGAAGCCTGGGAATGTTTTGAAATGGAGAAATTCATCTGTAATGAGGGGGTACGCACAGATACTGAACAAGTCCTAAAGATAAGAACACACTGAGCACACGGCAGCTAAGAAAAATGTCATCAACGTGTCATTGCATTAAAAAAGCACACCACCCCTCTGGCAGAGGTCCCCAGGGGATGGGAGAAGGAGTGGAAGGAGCCCATCTGTCTTCAGTGACCGGACCCAGATGTTGCCTTTGGAGACTTTTGAAGGAAGAACACATCAGAAGGGGAGAGAAGGATCAGTCTGTTAAAGAACAGACCTTAATGTCACCCCAGATGAAAATGAACTCGGAATCTTGCCATTTTTATTAGGAACAAATGGAAAAAAGCTTTCGGGCATCTGTATCCGTGTGTCACTTGCAGACTAGGGAAAACCGTGTTTGAAATAAAAACGTTAAGCAGTCTCTAGTGGTTTCTGTAGTAGGATGTAACCATTACAATGATAAATTGTTATTTTTCTGTGATACACATTTTTATCTTGCCCTAGAAATAGCAGTTCTAAAGCTTGGTGCTGTCTGAGCCCCTCTGGCTATACCGATTCCTAAACAAAAAAAAAGGAGAAACTAAGCAATTATATTAAATAAATTACATCCCCCTCCTTCCAACTCTGTGCAGAATTGTCTCCTACTTTTCTCATCTTCCGAGTTTGCGAGTAGTTCTTATGATGCAGCAGGAAGTCCCCTTGCTGGTTCTTAATACAATGACTAATAATTTAGAATGTTCGCATTAAGAGCAGGTTGTAATTATAATTAGAATATATAATAGTGTGGATTTCTGCCTATCGAGGATTAATTTCAGACTCCTCTCAAGGATGCATTTGTTTCGAAACAAGGCTTTCCTTGTTAATAAAAACATGATCCCATGCATTATTAAAGCATTATTTCTGTATTTTATCCAGTAGCATTTGTTCCAGTATTCTTCACGGGATCAGCATTTTCTTCCCAATTGTTAATGGGGCTATTCTTTATATATACGACATTCACCCTGATTTAGTATTAGCTTTGACATTCATTTTCTAGGAAATTGTGGGAATATACAAGTACTTCCCACTTCCTTGAATGTGTGTTATATTATGCAAGCTCAGAAAAATAAAATGCCATAACCTCAACCAGAATTCCTGTGTGAATCTGGGTCCTGTTGTCCCATGACATTCAGCTCAACCCAAGTCCCTGAGTCCTCTCAGCGTAAAGACAAACCTGACTGAGGTACCACCAGAAGTAGCAAGTCAACACTTCTGATCAACGAATGGATTTCTGCAATGTTCTGTTGTCACTACTGAAAGTTGAGGTCCAGAGAGTGGCAAAGAGAGAGAGGACCACAGGTGCACGTCAGCAATGACACTGTGTGCCTTCCTCTCTGCTCTTGGGACAGGCTTTAGAGCAGTCTTGGCGTGGCCTCGTGCAGGTGGCTTGAGGGAGGGAGGGAGCCCTGGGCACCGCTGCCCCTGCTGCTGAGCACTCTCTGTGTCTAGCACCCACCAAATATGTGGGCGGTAGAAGTCAGCTAGGAGTTTTCATGGGCCAAGAACGGGCAGACACAATTTGCTGCCAGGTCCCAGCAGACCCGGTACCTTGGAGGCCCCAACACTGGGGAAGAGAAAGAATGTCCCAGCCTCGCTTCCTCTATGCCAATCACACGGCTGAATCCCAGCCACATGGGCAGTGCCTGTGAGCAAGTGAGAGTTGGGGGTCGCCACTTTGCAGAGCGCAGGTAGCCAAGAGCGCCCCAGGGGAATATTTGCATGCTCTGTAGGAGCCAAGGGAATCCAGGGACACTGGGCCTCTGTGGCCTGAGGTCTGGAAACCCAGGAGCTGGTAAGATGTGGGCGTAAACAAAAGGAAGAACTGGTCTCTGACCACCCTCACACAGGATAGCTTCGGAGGACAGTGACAAAGGTGGTGACCAGGCGAAAGTCTGGGGGAGGTGCCTGGTGAAACGGGGACCACTGCAAGCAGGAGCATGGGGGTACTTTGTGTTGACATGGGGGAGGGTTCTTAAAAAAAAAGATGAGGAAGA